TCCACTTTCCATCGCTGTTAGAAAGGACGCGTTTGTAAGTCCATTGTTATCCGATCGACCTCGTGCGTTTGTTATGAAACGCAACACGCAACATATAACGCGCACCGCCCGAGACAGTGAACTGCATTTATTTATAAGTTCACTTATAAAGGGTGAAGTTTTAATTTGTACCTTGCACAGATATGTTTCTTCACTATAATTTCAACCTCTGGTGGTTCATATGAGTATTGAGATGGTTGTAGGTTCTCAATAAGCGACGGCGGTCCCTCCCACCAGAGAAGGTGGCACTTCAGCTGGGTCAGTGTCAGTCCACGCGTGGCACAGTCGGCGGGATTCAGGTCTGATTTGACGTAACTCCAACATGTTGGCGGCATAATTTTCTTAATCTCGTTCACTCTATTTGCAACGTATGTCTTCCACTTTGCAGTGTCACCATGTATCCACCCCAATACCACCATTGAGTCAGTCCACACATGTATTTGTATGTTGTCACGTGTCTGCAATGAATCAATAATTTTGTTCATCAATTTTGATAACATGACAGCACCACACAATTCTAAACGTGGGAGTGTGGCTTTCGTTTTTTGCGGTGCCAATTTTGTCTTCGCTGCAATGAGACGGACTATTGGTTTTCCGTTCTCGTCAAATGTTTTTGCATAAACACAAGCAGCATATGCTTTCTCAGATGCATCTAAATACCCATGAAGTTGCCGACCCTTTTCAAGGTCACCAACCCATCTTGGAATTCTTATTGAATTGATGTTTTTCAGATCTTCGCGCAATTGATTCCATTCGTGTTGCATATCACGAGACAATTGTTCGTCCCAGTGTGTATTATTGGCCCATAGTCGTTGAAACATTATTTTCGCCTTTATTGTAATTGGAGCAAGCCAGCCAAGCGGGTCAAATGACTTTGAAATGTCCGGCAGCATTGTTCGCTTGGTATCTTGCTTTGCAATGTGATTGATTTTGCTCTCAAATGCAAAAACATAAGTTGAGGGGTGCCAATACAGGCCTAGAGCTTTTGTTGATGTAGATTCGTTGAAGCTGTCTTGTAACTGATTTGATCTTGAGTTAAATCAGCAAGGAGGCTAGGTTCATTGCTGGACCACTTTCTCAAATTGAAACCAGCTCCGCGTAGCATGTTGATGAGCTGTTGTTGGGCTTGTTTTGCCTCTTCTATGCTGTTGTTACCATATAAAAGATCATCCACATAAAATTTCTTTTTCAGTACGTCAGCTGCTAACGGATACAATGATGCGTCATCGTTTGCCAATTGTTGCAATGTTCGAATAGCGAGAAAAGGGGCCGCTTTCATACCAAATGTTACAGTGCACAGTTGATATTCTCTGAGGATATTGTGTTCATCTCTCCAGATGATCTTTTGCAGGTGTTGGTCCTCCTCATGGAGCCAAATCATACAGTACATCTTTTCGCAGTCCGCCGTGTAAACATATTTGTAGCCTCGCCAACTCAATAACAATAGCTGCAGATCGGATTGCAACTTAGGACCGCACTCCATCAAATCATTTAAGCTATAGCCAGACGATGTTAGTTGCGATGCATTAAAAACGGTTCGTAATTTTGTGGTGGTAGAATCTTCTTTTAACACTCCGTGGTGTGGAAGATAGTATTCTGTACTTCTTTTATCTGTACAAATTTTCATATGGTGCATGGCAACGTATTCCTTCATAAATGCATGATAACTTTCGCTTAGCTGTGGACTCTTCGCTAGCTTGCGCTCTAATTGCATGTATTGTGCAACGGCCGTAGGCTTCGATTGGCTTAATTGCTTTTCAAAGCCTTCTTTCATAGGCAATCTCACTTCATATGTCCCATTTGTTAAGCGACGTGTCGTTTTGGTGTAGTAGTTTTCGCAGAATTGTTCATCTTTAGTTAACTGTCGTTTTGTCTCTGTGATATCCTCCAACTCCCAATAATTGCTGATATATTCGATGTTATTGATCACTACATGACAGTAGAATGATTTTGTTATTGAACCAGACAAAATCCAGCTCATCTGCGTCTGTTGTGCTATTGGTTGATCGGGTGAACTCTTTAACAGCCCATCCATAATGATTTCTGGGTAGACTTTTGCATCCAATAGAATATCAACCGGCCTTGATATATTGTAGCCCGGATCTGCAAGCTGAAGATGTTGGATGTGCGCGTACGGCTTTTTCTTAAAAGTCATACTTGGCAAACGGTTAATGACCTTTGTCATTACTAATGCTTCAGTGGTGAATTCATAATTGTTGAAGAGTGATTTGCAATGCAATTCGACTTTTCTTTTGCACTTGTTAGGGGAGGTACCTATACCAGATACAGACGCATGTATGTTATGTCGTTTCAACCCTGGTAGTTGTGCTGCATTCTCTGTTATGAGGGTTGTTTGCGAACCTTGGTCGAGAAGTGCGCGCATGGTGGTAAAAGTACCATCCGCGGCTCGTAATTGCATTTGAATTGTTGCAAGTAATATTTCGTCATCATCACCGATCACGTGATTAGCGTGCACGTTATGCAGTGAATTTTGTTTGTTCGAGGTCGATGCTCCCTTATTCATTGCAGTAATTGCCTCATGTAATAAAGTATTATGTGGTATATTGCAGTCTTTGCAGCGTTTCTCGGAATTGCAACCATATTTATGCACATACAAACAATTTTGACAAATGTTTGATTTTGAAACGGCTTGAAGTTTTGCGTCCGGTGTCATATTCTCAAATAATTTGCATTGATATAGTCCATGATTTTTATTGCAAATAGGACATGTAATTGCAGGTTTGGAGTAAACATGAAATGTTTTATTGTATGAAGTATTTCGCTTCTCAAATGCAGGTTTGTTAGAATTGTAGGTTTGCTTGAACTTCGGTGCAAAATTTGTCTTGAACGAACATGTTGGTACCGATTCCTTTTCCTTTTTATTCATAGGCTCCAATGCAATAAATTTGGCTTCCAAAAATTCCAAGTCTGGTACATCGCGTGGTGATTTTCTTGCCTCCATATAATCGCTGAACGTCACGGTGTCTAATTTCTTTGCAATTAAGTGCACAAATACCGGATCCCAAGACGAAGTGTCGATACCCATGTTGTATATACCATATATGCACTCCATAGAAGTGTCATGAAGTCGTCTCAGTTCCATGGAAGTTTGTTTTTGAACGTTAGGTTGATTGAGTAAGATTTCCATCTGTTTGGTGAAAAGTACTTGACGGTTATCGCACCGATGATTTAATATCTTCCAGGCAGAGTCATAATTATCAGATGAAATATGCAAATGTTGTATGAGCCGCTCCGCTTCGCCCCTTAGCTTGCCTTTGAGATGTTGCATTTTTTGTACTTTGTTCAAAGCGGGATTGTTATGCACTGCTTCCTTGAATAAATCGAAAAATGTATTCCACTGAGTGTAATTGTCAGAAAAGGTAGGAATATCAATCTTGGGGGTAGAAAGATGCAAACGAACTGTAGATGACAGCTTTTTATTTAAGGCTTTATTCGCAGATCTGAATAAAGTTTCCAGTTCTATATATTGATTTTGGTATTCCGCATCAGCTCCGTCTACAATTTTGTCAATTTTCAAATGTAAATCAATGTTGTTCCAGCGAATTTGTAAATTTTTCAGCTCGTATTCCAACTCCCATTTCTCATGGATAGAGTCAATATCAAAATTGTCTGTGACTCTACAAAACGCTCTGAAGTTTGTTCTTTGCAAACTTAAATAGTCTTGAACTTTTTCCAGGTCTACTTGAATTTTTTCGTCTTGCTTGTTTCTTCCGTTTGGTTTCCCATATTCCATTATCATATCACGAGTCCTTTTATAATAATCTTGATATGCCGCAAACACATCCTTTGTGAAATATTTATGTGTCCTATCTTTTTCTGTTTCGAATATTGTGTGTTAACGAGAACCATGTTCCCGTTTTCGTAATGAAAACGCCAAAGATCAACAGTACTTCAGTACATGTAACATGGATCCGTTTAGCATATTTTAAAAAAGACATTATATGAAGTTAAGCAGCAAGGTTCTTTTTAGCTATTAAAAAGTTCCTTATTTAGGGTTGGTACCCCGAAGGACTTTTATTTTCTCTGTTTTGGCGTGGTATGTATGCCAGGATCGTTTGTGAGCGGGTAAAGGACACGTCTGGTGTTCTACCTAAATACATAATTCAATTTCACTCGAGGTGTGGGTTGTTTCTTGTTTGCATAACATGTCCAGTTGGTATGTTTTGGTTTGATAGCATGGGTGTATTTTAAGTACAACGCCATCTGTTAGCGGCAATCAATATTATGTTAAATCAAGCGGAAGGTCCATCTACCACACTTTTACCGCATCGGGGCGTATGGCGCCACCTTATTGGAGAAATTATGATAAGCGCTTTATCGCTCAAGGTCATCGACGCAAAGTCATCGACGCTTGTCAGCGTCTTAATCTGAATAACAAAACACTTCTTTTTTTCTAAGAATATATTTTCTTAAAATACCCAAGAAATTTTGAATTCATTTAAGATTATTTAAATTTGATGTAAGAGGTAAAATTTCTTGATGTAAGTAATGTCCAATTAATTGATTAGTAATGAAATAAAATCCTGAAGTGCACGTATTTGTCTAAAAGTTAAAATAAGGTTAAGAGTAAAATTGTATTAGAAAAAGATAAGCAGTATTTTTGTAATGACAATATTTTATAGCTTTAATAAATACTCTTTCAGAATCACCAAAAATATTTTGAGAAATCGCTCTTTCTTATTAATAGAATCCTTTTTTTCTGTGCAGTGTCAGTCCATCCTTTGGACCACTGGAGTCGTTTCCTCGTGAACTATTGGGGTTTTATAGACGTATGCATCTATTAATTATGAACGGAAGACAAAAATTTCCCTTTTCAGTTCTATGATATCTGGTTTATATCTACAAAACTTGTACAAAATGTCATTGTAATATTTCTAAGCTATTGGGAGAAAATAAATTTCTAATCTATTCCATTCCATTATAAAGTTTGTTCTCGACAGCTGATGAAGAATGAGGATCTGGTGTTTGTGAAGGTACACGCTCCCAATTCCGTCATATTGGCACTCGCCAGGCACTTTGGCGCCAGGAAGTACTTTAAGAACAACCACATAGAAATCATGAAGGAAACTGTCCAAGATGAGAGGAATTTGCTTCATGTAATACGGTTCGTTTACTTTTACGGTTGTCTTAATATGTTCTAAAAGGCCAACCTTCTTTGTAAAAAAATTGTTGAAGTTAGTCAGCGAATTTTTTATTAACCAATTTAAATTATGCTTAAAATTCAGCTATATATACATCTTTTGATCAGCTTGAAAGGCGTGAGTGCCTCGTAGTACAGTATACTACGTTGCCATTAGTCGTCAGTGAAATCAATTAACTATTTTTTTGTTTATTCAGAACTAGCTGGTGCCCGCGACTTCGTCTGCGTAGAATAAGTACTTCGTATAGTCTACTGTACTGTACTAATTTTCGTAGTTTTATTGGTTCTCTAAGTTTATGGTTCGGTAAGATTTATTTTTGTGACAAAATGTAGCCTGTCTTGCTACTAGGCCCCATCTATCTTTATACAAATACTCATTAAAATAGGATTAGCAGTACAAAAGTAACAGACACGCTTATAATATTAATTTGGATAATATCAGTGAACTCGGCACATATGTTTAATAGTGAATCTTTAATTTCCTCTTATGTTATTAATAATGGTGACAAATGGTTCAACGCGTTTACTTACTAATTAGAGCTCGTTCAGCAGCACGCCGATGTTAAGTGGGAGCGAAAAGTGGTTCTCTTTATTCTCTACAGTTCCGCCGTTGAACTCGACCTTGTTCAGCAACAGCTCTTTGCATTTAACGCGGTCGATTAGGTCTGATTAGGCTCCACACGTTCGTCCCAGTGCCTGTATAAACTTAGAGACGCAGAACCACTCGCCTGTGCTTCCAGTATAGTTTTGAATCTCAAAATACACGCTTTTGCTTAGTTTGAGATTCGGGAGTTTAAAACATTTTATATAAGTAGCACGTACATACAATCATAAAAATAAGTTTTTTTATGTTACGTGGCTAGTGTTTTTGATTTTGCTGTATGTGTACATGAATGAAATAAATATTATTATTATATTGCTTGAATGGACTCCTCAAGTTTATTTAGACCGTTTTCTCAGGAGCACTCAGCTTATGGTAGTGATTAATTAAGAGTATTCCTTTTTACAGACGCAATTACCCCGGGCCGTTCAGCTACTCCACAATTGACCGGATCTACTTGGTATACAGGTTGATGCGAATGATGCCCTTCGGTACGGCGCCAAACTACCATGGAATTGACCTGTAAATACTTTTTCGTTTAAATTTAGTCTAGGTCTAAGAACCAGATTTAGCTGTGGTACATAATTGTAGCATTATTTCAATTGTAGTCTTAGTTAATTTATTAAAGTCAAATTTTTTGTTGTGTTGTTAAGAGGTTTATTTTTGTAAAAAATAGGTCTTTCGTAAAGAATGGCAAGTTTTATTTAGCACCCGTTTTATGAAGCCGACTTTGGCGCTTATGTGTATATGTGTTACCGGCAACGTAATCCGGTATTCTATAAATTACTTCGGTATTCTACATAGGGCGCAATATAACTTTCCGGAACTGGCCACTTACATAAACAATATTTAAAAAGTAATTGCAACATTTGAAAATGGAACTCTTTGGCTGTACAAGACAGTTTGTTTCATCTGACTGTCACTAGTTTTTACATTGTGGCGTCATTTTAGAAATTGGATGTCTACTTACTCGTGAAAGTTTTCGTAGTATGATTTTCTACGACTTTTACGCTCGTTTACTGCTGGGAACAATAAAAGTATCGATGCTGTGTGGCGTTTGATCAAAACAGACAGGCATGTGACATCCATGAGATTCATGCATCTTTAGGCACAGGCATGAGTCATTTACAATCAATACTTCACAAACATTTGGGTGTGAAACAGCTTTGCCCTCGATGGATCCCACACAATTTAAATGAGGCTCAAAAAATGGATCGCGTCACTTGGTACAATGCTATGCTTACCAGATTTAAAGAAGAGGCGTCAAATTTGGTGTGGGACATAGTAACAGGTGAAGAAACATGCATTTATAGTTACGATCCCAAAATAAAGCAGCAATCGAGCGTATGGGTCTTTCGAGTTGAGCCGAAACCAACCAAAGTGGCGCACGTGCAAAGTTCATCTAAGCGGATGATTGCTTCTTTTTTTAATAAAACTGGACACGTGGCTACTGTTGCTTTGGAGAATCGTTGTACCGTGAATAGTAATTGGTACACGACCATTTGTTTGCCGGAAGGTATTGACAAACTCCGTAAAAATACCAGTAAACGCCGTATCATCGTGCACCATGATAATGCCAGTTTTCACACGGCCAGACAAATAAATGAATTTTCGAAGGTGAACAACGTTGACCTTATGCGCCATCCCACATATAGTCCCGACCTGGCAACTGAAGAGGCTGTCGAGGAGTATGAAAAATATGTTTCAGAGATTGTCACGGAGGAGTGGCATAAATGTTTTCAAAATTGGTTCATTTGTATGAAAAAATGCATTAACGCTAACGGAGAATATTTTGAGAAACAATAAATTCATTCCTGACCATTTATAGTATTTTTTTCTTATTAATTCCGGAAACTTATAGTGTGCCCCACGTATACAGTGCCTGAAACAATCAGTTAATGTTTAAAATAAACTCTATTATAAAGTTGGTCTAGCAATTATATATAACGTCGTAGGTGAGACAGGCAATGTCCAGGGATTAATTAAATGTAGGTGCAGAAAGTAACGTGATAATATGTAGTGCTTGTGTGTTAAGAAGAATATTTGACGGTAATTGTTTCTGGGGGGATGTCGGACGGGGAACGGGCTTGGTGCTTGCCGTGTGCTGCCGTGTCATGCTGTTCTCAAAAAATTCTGTTGTAAAATTCGATAATTTAGTGCGCACTTCAGCATTTTACTCCCAATAAATGCCTGATTTCATTATTTTGTCTTCTATTTAATACTTTGCCAAATCTATGGTTGGCATTCTATACAATACATAGACTTGGTACACAATGTCTAAGTAACGTATAATAAAAAAATAAAAACTATTTTATACATTTCCTAAATGGGCCGGGTATTGTATAGAATAATGAGACTTTTACACAATCACTGAATCAATACATTATCGTTGACGTATATAAATAGCTCATTAAACTCAAATATGATGAAGCGAAATGTCAATTTTATTTTTAAAGCTTAAGAAACTTGACATGTTGCGATGGTATTAAGACAGAAAAATTACCCTAGACTAAAACCCCATTAATCTATATAAAAAAATGTTTATAAGTAAGCTTTTATAAACGTGTAAAACTGTAAAATGATTTTACCATGTCGCTCTAGATCATTAAAAGTTGACCACTAAAATTTGTTTGTATTGTTACAGGCTAGTCGAGAGAGGAATTATCCGCGACGTTTACGCTTTACACGATGGACCCTATTACACTGTCGAACAACCAGATGATGTACTCACCGGGCGCCAAGTAAGACGTGCATTTGATCTCAATACCAGGAAAATTTCTCATTTTATTAATGTCTTCTTTGTTACAAGCACGAAACCACCAACCGCTTACGGCGTCTCTGCCACAGGATGCATTTGCACCATTTCAGATCGGTTTAACGTTATACGAGTAGATGCCTAACCCATGTCCACTTCAGTTTCATGACGCGATGACCAATTAATTGGATAAATTGGATGACGACGGTGTGCCTCCCGATTGCGATTCCTCTTCTCCCTGGGACCGCCACGAGGTGCACTCGTGTCGAATCCATGCCAGTACAGTTTTTGAAATTAGTAAAATTTAACTAGTGCCATAAATTCGAAACGGAAAATTAGGAGAGCAAGAGCTCTAGAAGGCTAACAAGACAACAACCTCGTACTGTGAGTCAAATCTCTTCTTAACCTGGTAATTCGTGCCTCCTACATTGTACGTCAGAGTGAAATCACGCCATTTTGGATTTTGACACGTCCACTGACCTATAATTGGTGCGTTTCCATGTTTTATGACTACCTGCTTCCTGCGTCATTTTGAAACTTGCGCTTCCGTGTCTTTCGGACCTTCTACTTCGTGCGCCGTTTTTCTTAAACCTATTACGTCTCATTATTACTCATTCGACGCATAATCTCCTAGTACAAATGGATAGGAGGTCAGCGTCGCCCAAGGAGCACACTTTACAAGCCTTAAAACTGTTATACCTATAAACAGTTTTAATATGGTATAGATTTAGATAATAGTTCTGTATAAATGTTTTTAGGAAAAAGAAATTGTTCTTATAGACTTATTTCACTCAAGTCAAAATTTTAACACCCCCTTAATACCAAACATCTTAATTAAGTGTAATGTCTCTTAATATTTACTCTTATAGTCCTTATTTTAAGTTCATCTGTAGAACAACTGATTATTTTTAGTAAAATTGTTCTGTACACATCCAGTAAAGCCTATTAATACTCTAAAAAGTAGTGTTCTTAAGTTTATTCTAGATATATTTAATTTATAGACATTCTGTGGTGTTTGTACTTATTGACAAACACGTTATAGCGCGTCTTTAGTAGAGTTTATTTAAAAAAATACTACAATTAGGGTTTTTACTCTATTGGACGTTGTAAGAGTTCATGCAACATGGATAAAGTAAAGAATATTAAAAGATCTGGCGGATGTGGTAAACCTTGGATATTAAGTCACATCATTCGATACAATCCGCGTTGCCAATGCCAATTGTTCAAAATCCCCAAAAATCACTATATAATAATAATAATAACGTACACACTCAACGTAGCCCCGCACTAGGGAAACCCTGTGTCGCGGGTGCCATGGACACACACGTAGACAACCACAAATTACATCCAAGCTCACGAGAGAAATAAATTTAGGCCATAAAAATATTTCTCCCGACTCGGGAGTTGAACCTGGGACCTCTGCATGGCAGTCCTGCATGGTAACTGTTTGGCCACGGAGGCAGTTATATTAATTATAATATTAATTAGATTCACCATTAATCTGTAATCAGTCTGAACAAAAAATCATTATTCTTTGCCTTACAAAATTAAGTAAATTGATTATTTGTTGTGCATTTGGTGACACTATGTTAACGTTAGAAATAATCAATGAGTTTCGACCTATATTTAATATTTAAAGTTGACGAGTGGTAAGTTGTGGTGTGGAAGTACTAACTGCTCGGCTTTGTTTATCAATAGCAGATTTCGTTTTGCTTCATACCGGGGACCGTCATAAGCGGGAGAAAGAATCGCGATCTCAACATGCACCGACTGGTAATTTTACAATTCAGAACCAAGTGCTCTAATAATAATTATATTTAAGCTGCTTGTTAATAATACTAGGGATGTGCGATGTTGAATAACACGTCAATGTAGTCCATCACAGTGTTTCTAACAGTAACGATCAAACTAGCGATGCATCTGCAATTGATAGATTAAACAAAATGATAAAATGTTAGAATCCCCACATTTTCCTCACATAGCGCCAATCCCCACAAAATCCCCTATCTAGTTGAAACTCCCCACAATTTGGGGAATTCCCTACAAATTGGCAACGCTGGATACAATAGTCGTAATTCGCGCTCGGGCCGGCGGCATTTGTTTGTTGACAAATAAATAAACATTGTGAAGTAATTCCGTGTTGTGAAATGACAAAAATAATTGAAATGAGCGCGTAAACTACTGTACTTCAATGTTGTGTATGTGTATTGTGCCGTCTATCAATAGAATACAGTGAAATCATTGTGTGAAATGTGGTTGGCGTGAAAAAAATAACCTCAATTTTGTAATGAAAATTTTGTTTCTTCCATCATAAGTTAGGTATGTCATTAAAATATTCCTTATATTGAAATGATACGAAATTTATCCACCTTTCTAGTCATATTATAGCACATTCCATATAATTATACAGAATAACGTTTTTTTGCGACAAATGGGATTTTTTCCAATTGTTTTTTTGACCTAGTGTTTTGAAAAGTTTTTTATTGCATAAACTAAGTTTTTCGTATAACTTTATAAAGGTTTTGTAATACTGTCAAAAGAAAAAATCGCTTAGAAACATCGCGTTTTGTAGACAATCATAAAAATCTCATAGGAGGAATATTCCTCGACAAGTTCAACTACACTAAAGCAAGTAAAAATAATCTTTTCGTATTCTAAAGTTTTTCTATAGATAAAGCTATAGACAAAATGCTCCTAACTGTGTTTTGAAAAAAGCTTCAAATTCTTATCGCCTTTTTATTTTTAAAGAATGACTATGAAGTAGCCGAGATAAAATTCTTTTCTTTTTAAAAAGTAAATCTAAGTTCAAATTAGCTTGAAGAAGCCTAGAACTTCTTGGAAATGGTTTGTTTTGTGAGTTATTTTGTATATTTAAGCTTTCTATATATATTTAAAACCGAAAATCGATAACTGTATTTTTATTAAGATAATATTTTATACATAAATATTTAAAATTTAGCGAGCGCATTACTTTTATGACAGGTTTTACATCACTTTTAACAATGTATTTAAAGTCGCACGTCAATTTGCGCTTTCTAACCGATTAAACATTGTGCGAGAAAGTCAGAAATATTATATCTAATTTCGCCATGTTGCAATTTTGATAGTTTATATTTTGTAAGCCATTAAACTTGAAATCTATTAGTATTAAGAGAAGTGCGTCCTATGTTTGTAACGCTTTAGTATTTTGGTTTTAAAACAGCATTACTAAGAAAACTATCATAGACTATAAATTGTCTGAAAACTATCTACAAGACTAAATAAAGCCTGTCTATATTCTACAAATGGTCTTGTAGCATTCTAGAAGGGTTACTGCAGAAAAATGATAAGAATCACTCGTAACACTACCTACAGATAGTTTCTCAAAGCACTCTTGTGATCTACTAATAAAGTTGTGCCCACTTTTACTTTAAATTATCTAGAAACCTTCTTCGAGATATCTTGAGGGAATTTGAACTCTTAAAATATTCAATCGAATTAAATTCTATTAGATATCTTATAGTATATATTTAGATATGGGTGTGCTGCTTGGGCGCAGTCGGAATTGTCAGCGCTGCAAGTATTCCCAACTAACTTCACTATTACACGAACTAAGAGAAGAAGGGATGATGATTACATTGCGAATCTGATGAGTTTAAGAGAAGAAATGAAAAATATGTTCTCTACTCTAATGACATATCAAATATGAATTTCAAAGAAATGCCCTTGTCGCGAATCCTTCTTGGTTAAACATTTCTTTAGTTTTCTCTTATGATGTTTGTCGCCTTTTCTGTGTCAGATATGTTTTAGTTTTGTTATATTAGAAGAAAATGTTTCTATTTTAAATACCTTTGAAATATACCGAAATTCTCTCCCAATTTAGTAAGTGCTTTAATAAGGGAGCAAAGGCTGCGGCCTGCCCTATCGTCTGTTCATATTAGAACCTGAAATTATCTCGAACATCTGGCGACCGTTGTGATTAAAGAAAATGGATAGAATACTATTAGATCGTAAATTAGCGAGACGAAGATTTACTATTAGCGCTAATAAACTAAAATAATATGTTAATAAAAAGGAGAAGTCGAATATTTGTGCAGATTTCAAGAAGTTGAGTATGCATCATGACGAATTAGTTGCGATTCAAAATAAATATTTAAATTCATTGTTGGAGAGCGACAGTCGTGATGAACAATACATAGAGCAGGAGAGCGATGTTGTCGATGAATATGAGTCAAGATGATTGTTCAAGATTTAGAGCAGTCAGTAAAAGAAATAATAGAGTCAGCAGAGCATTCCGTGTGTACTATCAAGTGTAAGGAATCGCGCTGTGAGTCAGGAGACGGTTCAACCAGCTTCCGTAATGCGAAACTATCTTTACGCTTACCAAAGTTGGAACTGCCCCGATTTAATGGGGAATATTCAAAGATGGCTGCCGTTCTGGGCGCAGTTCAAGAAACTGACTCCGACGAGACCATAGACAAAGAAGACAAGTTCCAATATTTGATCCAAAGTACGGAGGTAGGGACAGGTCCACGAGAGCTAGTGGAAAGCTTCCCTCCGTCAGCAAAGAATTATCATAAGGTCCTCGAACAATTGAAAGAACGACTCGCGAGAGATGACTTGCTGACGGAGTTTTACGTACGAGAACTGTTTCAATTAACTTTCAGTCAAGGCAAAGGACCTTCCAGTTCTTCTCTGAGATCATTATACGATAAGATCATGACACAAATTATGGCGTTAGAGTCTCTTGGGGTTACATAAGAAAAATATGCGGCTTCTTGTGTCTATTAGTTGAGTCGGCGTTGCCAACAGATGCATTACGTGCGTGGAATCGGTCTCAACTGCAAGATCAACTGGGAACTCAACGGACTACGTTACTTCAGTTCGTGAAATTAGAAGTAGAATCTAAAGAAAGAATAAAGCTGACCGTAGAATTCAAGGCAGAGGCTATGAATTTACTGATGCGCCAAATCCTTCAGCGGCGTGTTTTTCGACAGTAAGTGAGAG